TTTTATTTCCTTGAGATTTGGTGGCTGAGGTCAATGTAGACAGCATGGGCAAAAAGGGGGTCACCAGGAGCCGGATGTGTGGTCTTGGATGCAGGGACCCTCTTCCCAGTGAGAACATCCCTCCCTCCTCCCCACCCTTCCTCTTCCCTACCCATATCCTTCCTCCTTTACCTCCTTCCCTTCCCATAATTACTAAGGGCATAATTATGCACTTAGTCCTGAACCTGAAAAGACTATGCAAGGATGAGTGCTTGCTTCCCTGTCGGGGAGGCAGGTGCTTCTCTAAGGCATCACGGGATCTGTTTGTAACCTAGTCCTATACTTCCTGCTCCCTTGGTGATACTGGGAATACTAAAACATTATGCTTTTATTTTATTTATTCATGAAAGAGACAGAAAGAGAGGCAGAGACATAGGCAGAGGGAGAAGCAGGCTCCCTGTGGGGAACCCGATGCGGGACTCGATCCCAGGACCCTGGGAGCATGACCTGAGCTGAAGGCAGACACTCAACCACTGAGCCACCCAGGTGTCCCTGGAATACTGAGAAGTTAAAACAAATGTTTTCCTGTGAGGAGTATGGATCCCACCCCCAAATGTTGGTACACACATCAGAGATGTCAACTTTGGACAATTCCCATGGGAACATCTTTGTATGTGAGAGAGATTTGGAAGGACATGGGAAAAACCTGCTATGCAAGTGGATTTGTTGAGTGAGAGCCCCATCTTGCCTCCAACTCCGGATAAGCCTGAACAAGGTCCAGGGGCTATACCTCCATGTATCTTTTTTTTTATTTTAAAGATTTTATTTATTTGACACAGAGAGCACAACAGGAGGGAGGGGCAGAGGCAGAGGGAGAATCAGGTTCTCCACTGAGTAGAGAGCCTGACGTGGGGCTCGATCCCAGGATCCTGAGATCATTACCTGAGCTGAAGGCAGACGCTTAACCCACTGAACCACCCAGGCGCCCATCTCCATGTATTCTTGATCGCTAGGGCTGAGGCTCCCTTCTCACTGTATTGCATTAAAAAAGAGTCTTCCTCTTAAACAAGGGGCTGGTAGACTTGATGATGTGCTGTTTCTACAGACACTTTACTACAATCACCTGAAATAAAAATCTATGAGAAGAGCATCAGGGCTGGCCCACAATCAAGCTTTCAAGCAAAGGGTTTCCTATCATTCGTATTTCTTGACAAACGGTCTTATTTTCGCTTTGTGTGAGATTGTCTTAGAATTTTCTTTGCTCTGTAACCTCCACCCTAACTGAAGGACCTCTAAGTAACTGTGGCCACTTGTGTTCTTTTCAGACAGCGGCCCAGGCTGGCTGGAGACCGAAGTCTGTAGTCAGGAGCCTCGAGCTCCAGGCAGTCACCTAGATGTGTCTGGTGGAGTGTCATCTGTCAGGCTGCAGGCCTGGACTCCCACACTGAGCCCAAGGCATCAGACAGGGGCAGCATGATGAACATTGGAGCCTTTTCAGATGAGCAGTCGTAGGTGCTGTATAAATGTGCCAAGCTGCCGCAGTTTGCCTCACTGAGCTTGAGACTCCTTCAAGAATGGACTTTACTGTTCTGTCGTTGAGAACATTCACACGATCTCTTGCCCCTGTTCACTTATTGTTGTGTGTGTGTTTAACTAAGTGATCATGCCTCACCAAATGATACGGAGGCAAAGCTTATGCGAGAAACACAAATTAGGTCCTGAATCACTTCACTACTACTTGGGCAGAAAAGTTGGGCTCTATGTGTTTCTTGGTGACTCTAATTTTCTCCCAAACACAGTTATCTACCATCAGACAAAATTTGCTAACAGCCTCACTCATTATTACAGATTAATGTCACTGCTTGCAAGAGATGCTTACTTTCCTCTTATATAAGCACAGCCTTTGATAATTAATCCTGATAACACCAATATAGGGACCCCAATACTTGACATATTATTCAGTGGCTCTTGGCAGAAAGGAAAAACATCTCATTTGAGTATGATAAAACACTATGAAAATCTGTATTTTACTACCTTTCATGAGAAATTTAACTATTTGGATAAATAATTTTATATTTTACCTGGCTGGTTTTAATATATACTTAGCTATTTGCTTTATTTTTAAAGAAGATGCATGAAAATTGGTGACGATATACAACATTCTCCATGAACCAAACCTAGGAGAGATTAAATTTTGCCCCAAGTGAAATAGCTAAATTCAGTGGATTTTAATTACTTTTGTCCCCATGGGCTTTTTTTTTTTTCTTAATTTCTTATATTTTCCCCTTAGGTTGCATGATTAATTTGCAAGTTGAGTCCCACACTGTCCATGAAACGAAGCAGAATGTATGACAGATGAGGTGATTAGGTGCCACCTTTTGAGCACTAAGAAAGCTTTTTCCAGCATCGGCCTGTGTCAGGGCGACAGAATTAGGGTCACCCGTGGTCACGCCTCACTGCTGCTGAGCCCAGGAGCAGCTCACTCAAACTCCGGATCATTAGAATCCCCGTTTCTGGGGCCCCTGCCTGACTTACTAGATTAAGTATCTACCTTTGGCTTGAGTCATGATCCTGGAGTCCTGGGATCGAGCCCCACATTGGGCTCTCTGCTCAGCAGGGAGCCTGCTTCTCTGTTTCCCGCTCCTCTTGCCTGTGCTTGAGCTGTCAAATAAAATCTTAAAAAAAAAAAAAAAAAAAATCCCTGCTTCTTGTAGAGATGGGCAGCTCGGCATTATGTGAGGCACTTCCTGTGCCCTATTTTTCATTCTGCGGTTGTTTAGAAATCATTTTCTTGACTCTGAAAATAACAGCAGCCCATGGATATGTTTGTTTTTTTTTTTTTTCATGGATATGTTTTTACAGGGCAGTAATAACTTACCAGAATACATGTGGATTTTTTTTTTCCCTTTCATGAATGAATCCCGAGGCCTCGGGAGTCGCCCCTCCCTGCCCACTGCATTTTCTCTATATTACTTTCTCTAATAGCTCTTTTGGTGCTAAGATTCTTACACTCAACCAGTGTAAGCAACATTCTTATGGAAAGCCACCTTAATGTTGGCTTATGCATGAAATGGAAATGGCTTGCGTTATTCATCCTTTAAAAAATTTCTAGTGCTCAGCCTCCATGAAATGGATTGCTTATGGGGAGATAATGTCTGTTCCATTCCTTTTTAAGTCTGTGAAAAATGTCATCCTGGTTAATAGGGTGATTAAAACTCTTTATGCTCCAGGAGATAAATGTGATTATGTTTGTCATACTCTACCCAAGATAAAGACAGCAAAGAAGGCAAACTTGAAATTCCATAACATTTCCTCTCTTCCATATCCAGGAACATTCAGAACTCAATACACAGATGGTACTTCACATAAAGAATAACATTATCTGTTAAACATTTTTCCTTTCCATTAACCAATTTAACAATATGCCTCTGGTATAAAAGGAATAGACAAATGACTAAATCTTCTGATATCTGAGTTCTGACTGTAGAAAAATACCACTTCAGTCATATTGTTTGTTTTCCTTTAAACTTTCATCTTTTGTTACTTCATTTCTGCTTTTAAAATGCAACTGGAGCCTATGCCTGGTGTATCCTAGGGCGACTGTCCCCGTCAACCTTCCCTCTGAGGGTGATTCACAATCATTCTTATGGGGGCTGGCCTTGCCTCCCTTGAGGACAATAGACGTATATGTATATGAGAAGTGTCTGTAAACGTGAGGCATTCCAGAGAGGTATGTGTCTAAACATGCATTCCTCAGGCCTCCCACATGCCAGGCCCTCTGGAATCCATGCTCCTAGCCTCAGGCCAGTAATATGGGCACAACCAGTTCAGTTTGGCTCTTGCCTTTCCTTCCTTCATCTCATTTGGAGGCTAAAAATCTTTTCTTAGCAGAGATTTAGCTAAAAATGAAAGCTGGGTGAGGAGTTTTTGCAGCTCCATATGCCCTGATAAATTCCACACTTCTTTCCTTTTAGTCCTGGATTTTTAACAGGTTATATATGAATCCCAGATGCTGCTTACACCTGTTTAATTAATTAACAATACAGCAGCTTTAACAGGGTAACTGGTCCAGAGAAAAATGTTACATTATGCACTTGACATTTCACTTAAAAATTTCCCTTAGAACTAAAAGGTTTCATTATAACAGAAAAATCTCAAATGTACTTTATTAAACCTGATTGCTAATTAGAACCTATGTAATTATAAAAAAATTGCTTTACTGATATCCAACCATATTTTTTCTGGATATATGGACATATTAAAGTACTTTCTTTAAAAAATGTTCATTTCCAGTAAAAATAATTGCATGTAGACATTATTCTCTGTTTTCTCTAAGAGACCATGGAGGACAGGAAAAGGTTGGGCATGTATAAAAGAATTCATCAGGGAGGCAGTACTAACTACTTAATAATATTGAGACTCAGGAAGCCTGGGTGGCTTAGTGGGTGATCATCTGCCTTCGGCTCAGGGCCTGATCCTGGGATTCAGGATCAAGTCCCACATCGGGCTCCCTGTGAGGAGCCTGCTTCTCTGCCTCTCTCTCTCTCTCTCTCTGTCTCTCATGAATAAATAAATAAATCTTTAAAAAAAAATACTGAGACTCAATACTCAAGTAACTTTCTAGTTAAAAATATTTGCTAAAATGGGTGATAACTGGATTATTTTTACATTAACAAGTGAGATATAACTACAAACTATTAGTCAATGTTTAGGGACACAGAACAAACTTTTCAAAAAAGTATGTTTTATATCCACAATATCATTACTATTTTAGCATGACTACCTTTTCAAGTTATCGTAATCTGTTGCTGGCTTCTTCTCTATGTGTAAGAATGTGTAGGGCCTTGCAGTGAGCTCATCAGCTAACTAAGGAGCAGGTGCAAATCCACGGCTGTGTTCAGGACAACAGAGCCATACCCACTTGCCTGATGTACAGAGTTTCCCTGTTAACCTGTCACTTTGGGGTCGGCCTGATAAGAGTAAGGCTTCCAAGTCCTGGTAATCACATACTAACAAGAAAGGCTATTGAAACTCATTTAATTAGACACATTGAGGTACTAGTGCTGTTAGGAATCTGTCTATAAAGATTTTCCATCAAATGTTATTATAAAATTTTTTCAGGTACAAAACTTGGTTTTAGCTGTTATAAACAGAAGTATTTCCCTGGGGATCTTCTCCACAGAGAGGTTATATCCATGTAATTACTTTCAAACAATATTCTTAATTTTGGGAATACCTTAATATACACCTACACCCATGTCAATTTTAAACTGTCAGCCTCCTATGTGGACACTGAACACCATCCATCTATGGGTTCAGGCAACAATGCACATGTTCCTGATGAGAAATCAGGTGAGTCTCCTTGCTTCTGTGGCATCTCCAAAGTCCCCCTTTCCTTAACAGTTGTTTTAGCCTTTCCCCATCGTGCTCATCTCACTTGGATTTCAATGCTTCCTCCCACTCCAGAGACGATTCAGAATTCTTGGGAATTGCTGGAAATACCGACTGCATTTTACTTCGAAAGTCTTTCATCTAAAAGAAAAAAAAATCAGTTATTAAAATTAAAAGAAAGAGAAAAGAGCCAAAGCAATTAGAGACAGACCCTGCTGCCCAAATGATACTTTGTTGCTTGTGGGTACAATAAAAGGTAAAGACTATGTTCCAGCTACCTGGAAAGGCAATGAGATACACCTCTTTTCTTCTTCCAAGTATTAATCTATTGGGCTTTAAATAACATAAAATGCCACTCTGAATCTGGAAGGCAACATCATTTAAATTGTCAACCTGCCATGATATTTATTTCCTACCAGAAAAAATGCTATGTGTTGCTGGCTTTCATATATAAAGAGGCAGCTGAGAATGGGAGTTCTTAAGTTTTTGGGGGTGGGGTGGGAGGAGTTCTGTTTATGCTAAATATTCCAAGGCCATCCAAAGAAGAATTTTGGAGCCAAAAGGAAGAAGTAGAGAGGAGAAAGTTAGTAGGTTAATAAAGAGTGAATCAGTGGATGGCAGATGAACTAGAATGTTCTCATATACTAGACTGTGTTGAAGAATCTGCATAGAGGTTTTGCCAGCAGAGGTAGATTTGGAGCCTGAGAGTCAGAGCAGGGGGTTGGAAGATCTTTATATGCAATGTCAACCTGGAACACTTGGCTTCACCTCCAGGGCACACTGCCCTAAGGGCAGGGAATACTAATTTATGGGAGCTGGATAATCTTTACATTGGATAGTATTAGCTACACACTTTTTGATTCATTATTTTAACCTATCTGGTCCTGTTATGAAGGTATCCTGTCAGCACCATAGCTCAGCGTTACAACATTCTCATCAACTATAGCCTAACTGTATTTCTCAAGGATACAGATCTCAATCAGATTTGTGAAGCACCTTGGACTCACTGACAACACCAAGTTGTTTCTTGGTTATTTTGAGAGTTGGCCAATTTTTTAAATTTCACTTCATTTTGAAGTAGATTACTTATCTTGTTTCTAATTCAGCAACTTTGTCTTGCTCATGACTTGTAAGTTCCTAGGTATCTGCTCCAGGCACTGTAGCACTGGTATTAGCAGCACAGACTCTGCTATCAGATAGACTTCTCTGTTCAAATCCTAACTCCACTTGGGAAAACTGCTTACTCTCTGTAAGTGGTAGTTTCCACGTGTGTAGAATGGAGATTACTTGCTTGTAGGGCTATGAGGATGAAAGCATAGCACCTGACACATGGTAGGACTCAATATATATTAGCTATTGTCATTATAGCATCATCAGTGTTGTGTTCCAAGAACACAGATATATATGCTTGTTAAAAGCATTACTGTAGGGGATCCCTGGGTGGCTCAGCGGTTTGGCGCCTGCCTTTGGCCCAGGGCACGACCCTGGAGTCCTGGGATCGAGTCCCGTGTCGGGCTCCTGGCGTGGAGCCTGCTTTTCCCTCTCTCTCTCTGTCTATCATGAATAAATAAATAAATCTTTGGGGTGGGGGGAAGCATTACTGTATAGTTCAATGTCATTTTGGTTTAAGTATTTTGACATTGGGAGATACAGAAGACTACACGTTATATGTAGTCTGTAGGAGGTCCATGGCAACCATCCCAACGTTTGGGTCCCAGATGCCTGCACTCAAGACACACATGTCCACAGGAAGTCTGTCTCTCCCTAGTCCTGTCTTCCATGCAACTCTCTAGCTTGTACTGTGACAAATCCTTCATGAGAGGCTGTCAACTACAGGCAGTACTGGGAAGGGATTGGAATTGTTGTTCCAAACAGCAGTTCTCAAATCATGTCATGACACTTTGGTTGTCATAGTCACAGTGAACTACTATTTGCATGGGCGGGGGGCAGATTCTAAATATCGAAAATGACCACAAAAAGAACTGCTTTGCCCAAAATACCAACATGGCCTTGTTGAGGAATCTTTTGCACAGACTTTCTCAAAGACCTCTCTGGGCAGGGTCCGCCATGTGCTACCTAGTTCTTTGCCTTCACCTTTATTGGCTGAATGTATTACAACTAAACCTAATGATGGTTTTCAAATGGTGTGTCAGAGAGTGAGGACATGAAGAGAATCATTCACCATTATACCTGCTCAGTAGTTGCTGAGAAGGGAGAAGCTGGGAAGCTCAGATGATATCTGGGTAGAAGTAAAGGGCGGCTGCTCTACTTCAGCAATGGGGCCTCGAGGGGGGCTGTGTTCCCATTTCCTCCACTTGGATTTTTTTTCTTTACTTTCATTTCCCAAGTATTGTATCATTTGTTCCCAGAGTCATGTATGAGTTACTGAGCCACTGGAAGGAATTATGTCTGAGAAAGAGCCAATTAGGAATAGGCAGACTTCAAAGACTGGTAAAGGAAGGGAGGCAAGTGGATAAAGAACACCATTTATAGGCCTCTTCTTTAATTTTACAGCTGTGGAAAGGGAAACCCAGAGTCCACACTTAAGATATAAACGGGGCCTCATGTTGCTTTAAACAATGGGGTTCCACAGGTTTTTAAGTTTGTACTATTTTTGTTATATGGATAGGAAAAAAAGACCTTTAGTTTTTTTTTTTTTTTTTTTTTTTTTTACCTCTATCAGTTTCTGATGTGCAGTTCAGAGGTGTTGGTCTTACCAGTGATACTCTGTAACAGGCCAACAGAACATTCTCCTGCTTAAAAATGTGCTTGAAAAGATTTAGGGGTTGAGTTAATTTAAGCAAATTTAATTATAAAACCAATGTACTGGATTCCACGATCCCACCATAACAAGGACAGCTATTGCCATAAACCAGTCCCTATCCTATATCCCAAAAGTTTGGTGAGGACAGGCTCTGTTGCGAACTGGTCTCCAGCCAACAACTCAGTTTTACTCTGCAGCACCTTTTCATCAAACTCTGGAATCTCTTCCCTGTGGTTCCCCCTTTCCCTTTTTCCTCTGACCAGGGAGAATTTGACACTGGTTATGGGTCACAGGGTTACCCTTTTAAGCAGGGCCACTGTGTACTGCACAGCTCCAGGGGCTGTTCTCTACAAAGATCAAGACAGGAGTGGCACCGCCTAGGCAATGAACCCACTGCTCAAGAACCTCATCCTTAAGTCCCAGTGTTTGTGTTCAACAGTGATGGGCTGTAATATTATTACAAAGTACTACTTTCTACGGCAGTTCTCAAATATGTCATGACAAATGGGAAATGTATTACAAGTAATTTGTCACTAATATGGACATTCTGAAGACTGGGTATGATCGACTTTTTAGATATTAGAACAGATTCAAGATTATGTCTCTAATAATGTTGCTCTCATTCACACTGCAACAGCCTTTTGAAGGGCCGTAGACCCAGGATGCCAGAAGTGAAATATGGGATACTGCTGCATGTCTTGGCAAGAAAAAAAAACAACATGAAGACTCTTGGTCTAATATATGGTGTGCTGAAAAACTCCTTAAAAGCTCAGGATATCTACCCAATTAATTTGAGAAAACCCTTACAGCAACTATTCTTAAAAAAAAAAAAAAGCAGTTATTGGAATTAAAAGTTCAAGTTGTAGAATTTCTTTGCCATTGAAGCTCATTTAGCTTCAATTGCCTCTTGCAGGACTTCAGTGCTGGAGGTAGAACGATGAAAGCTTTATTATAGAACCAACTGTTGAGAAAGCCTTTGGATATGTCAATAATCATGGTGCCAAGAATAATTTTGAAGAACTTGGAGATTCAGCTTCTCCATAAAATAGAATAAGACTGTAACTGTTGCTTGAACAGGAATAATAATGTCTGCCATGTGAGATTACTTATGTGCCAGGCACTGTACCAAGCATTAGGCTATTATTTAGTCTTTACAATTCTATGTGGCAGAAATGAGAACCACCACTTTACATATGAGAAAAGTTAACCCAGCAGCCATGGTGACGTGCTTTCTAAGCACAACTGACTGAATGATGTCCAGGGCTTTTTCACCATAGCCACTCTGGTTCTGTGACCTGGAAAGATTTGGTACCTCTGTAATCTCTAATCACATACCAGCTTTTGCTTAAAAGGATTTCAAATGCATATACACTCTTACAATGGCTACCATTTTATTTAGAATAACCAGATAGCCAGAAGTCATGTACTTCTAGATTTAGGGGTTATATGTACTTCAAGATATAGGAAGGTTATATGTACTTCTAGATATATACTTCTCCACCCTCTTCAAGTTATGTAACCACAAGACTAGTTCTGCCAAAAGAAATGTGTTATCACTTCCAGGGTGAAACATTTAATTGCAGGTGTTTCCAGGCCACTCTTACTTTTCCATGGAAATAATGGAAACCTGTGTTACTATTGTGATGCCTCAAGATCAAAGCAATCTGAGGTATGAAGCCACCTTGTGTAGGACAGCTCCCCTAGAAACTAAAGTAAACCCACAGTGAATTTTACAAGAGAAATAAACCTTTATGTTAAGCCACACATCTGGAGATCATTTCTCACTGTAGTATATATAACCCAGCCTAGCCTGACTGACATAGTGAAGAGAATTACAAAACAGACCTAGGGCATGCTCTGATCCCTTTCAAAACTACATTAAACTTGGCTGAATAAAAACTCAAGGGCTGGACAAAGGGGAAGAGGAACTCTGTGCAATTAAGCTTAAATAGCTCTTAGAATCAGCTGGAACAATCAAACCACCATTCTTCCTACTTTCAGAGAACTCAGCACATCAATTAGTCCCATTATATGACAATACTTCCTGGGTAATCAGAACATTTCTAGACGTTTCCAATAAAATAGTATGGGAGCTCTGATCACTATGGTAAAAGGTCCTTTTTTGGGGTGGATTGCTGTTCTGTGTCTACCTGATAAAACCAACGAAGCAGGGCTGGCTTTATTTAGAGAAGAGATGCTAGTACTTTTCAATTTTGATTAGCCCTGCTGATATCCACATGGGTCCTGAGATATGTTTGAACATACCATATTATTTAATATTCAACTATATTAGGAAAGCTAACATGAATTTGAGTTTTTCTCAGGGCACCTGGGTGGTGCAGCTGAGTAAGCAACCGACTCTTGGTTTCGGTTCAGGTCATGATTTCAGGGTCCTGAGACTGAGCCCTATGTCAGGCTCTGTGCTCAGCACATTCTGTTTGAGATTCTCTCTCCCTCTGCCCCTTCTGGTCATGCTTTCTCTAAAATAAACAAACAAATCTTTAAAAAAAAAATCTCATTTTCTAAGTTATTAGTACATCATTTAGGTAAAGATCAGACAAGCACCTTTACTTTCTCCTAAACCTGCACTGTGTCACATGTATAAAGTCTAGAATCTATAGTATAAAGTCAATTGACATAGGAATAAAAAAAATGTGTAATTTTCTGAGAAATATAATCCCTGGAGTACTTATTAAAATAACCAATTTTTTTATGACAGTGCTTACCAACAGGGCAATGTTCTAAAGCAAAAGCTTTCTGTGTGAAGTAAAGTGAGCAATAGGGATGACCCTGCAGCATCTTATGACCAGGCCTCACAAGAACAATCAGTAACACGCTACCTGATTTAATGTGCTAACTGGTCAGGTTATCAGACGCAGTTGTAAAATAATTTTAGTCAGGCTTTGTCTTTGTAACTGCAAAGTTTAGGAATGTTTCCTTTCCCTGCCAAATAAATATGAGTAACACTTGCCACCTCTGGACTGTCAGGACTTTTTCTAAAAGCTTTATATTTTACTGCATTGAATACTTTATAAGTGCTACCAACCAGCTCACTCCTATTTTTATATTTTAATGATCCTGCTTCACTGGCATCCATACATGAACATGTGTGTGCATGTGCCCCTCTGTCCCTGACAAACAGGACCTACTCTTGGCTCCCATTTTATAATACCTTTCTTAAGGTATTACAGCTGATAGAGTGTCATAGGGGAATGAAGACAGCTGATGGCTACATTACAGAAAATACTTCTGCATTTACATTTATTTTTACATTGTCGAGAAAGTTAGGTCTTAAAAACACATTAAGTGAACATAGTAGGCATAAGCCAGCCAGAATGAAAGAACATATACTTGATGAAAATTATTTCTGTAACACAATAAACTCCTATATCCTATAATCTTTTGGACCAAATAGCAACCAGACACACACACACAGCAAGTACTGGTACATCAGTGATACAAAAACAACTCCTTTGATGCAATCACTTAGGAACTGTGGGGAAAAAAATTATCCTGACATCTGGATGTTAAATAAAAAAGCTGGGGGGGGGGGCACTAAATAAACGAGTAACTCTACTTCCTTCCCTGTTTCTAAATTCTAAAACATAAAGTTTATAAAAAACATTTGACATATACAACCCTACAACTACTATCTCATCAATAACTTCAGAAAGGTAGTTTCAAACAACTTTATAGGTTGAGCTCCTTCTGAATTTCCCAAAGTGTTTTTGCACTCTTCTTCAGACGAGCCTGTTCTTCAGGGGTCAGCTTTATCTTTATGAGGTCTGCAATACCATTCTCTCCCAAGACACATGGAACACTGAGGAATACTTCTTCGTTTATTTCATAGAGACCCTTAATTATGGTAGAAACTGGATGCACTCTTCTAAGATTCTTCAAAATACTTTCTGTTAAATCAGCTACAGACAGGCCAATGGCCCAAGAAGTATAACCTTTCATTTTGATAATCTCATAGGCACTAGCAATCACATCTTTGTGGACATTTTTCCACTGCTCAGGATCTTTTTCAGTTCCTATATCTGAGTTCAGATCCTTCAGAGGGACACCAGCGATGTTCACTCCACTCCACACAGGAACACTGGTGTCTCCATGCTCTCCAAGGACCCATCCGTGACAACTGTCAGAGTGGATACCAAGCTTCTGCCCAATCAAGAAACGAAAGCGGGCAGTGTCCAGATTACAACCACTTCCAATAATACGGTTCTGGGGAAATTCACTCAACTTCCAGGCCACGTAAGTTAATACATCCACCGGATTGGAAACAACAATCAGCTTGCAGTGAGGGCTATACTGGACAATATTGGAGATAATTAATTTAAAGATGGCCACATTTCGCTGGACTAAGTTAAGGCGTGTTTCCCCTTTTTCCTGGCGTGCGCCTGCTGTGATGACGACGAGGCTGGAGTTGGCAGTGACAAGGTAATCTTTGCTGGACACAATAGTCGGCATTTTCACAAAAGGGCTGCCATGCTGAAGATCCATCATCTCGGCCTTCAGTTTGTCTTCGTTAACATCCACAAGGGCAAGTTCATCGGTCAAGCCCCTTAACAGGATGCTGATAGCACAGGCCATGCCAACCGATCCGGTTCCTATAACTGAGACCTTGTTGTGATGAACGACCTCCTCGGAAGTGACATTCTTGAGAAGCTCGGCCCGGACCGTTGCCATCTCGGACGCGGGGACGACGGCCCAGGCGCCCGCGGGTGAGAGGCCGGCCGGCCGCTGGGGACGCAGGCGGTTCACTCTCGCGGCGCCCGCTCTCCGGCTGCCCCGCAGGGCTCTCACAACCCAGCTCATGGCCACTCACAGGAGAGGTGGAGGAAGAGAAAGGAGGGAAGTGGCGGACCAGCTTCGAGGCGCGAGGGCGGCTGGCGGCCGGCGGCCGGCGAGGGCGGTTAGACACCGACGTCACCCCCTGCTGCGGCTGCGCGCGAGCCCACCTCCCGCCGTCCACTACTGCGGCTGCGCGAGCTCGTGGCCAGCGGAAGGGCCCCACCTCCCGCAGGCTACTACTGCGGCTGCGCAAGGCGGCCGGTCGCAGGGCCCCGCGAGGGCCTGCAGGGAAGTCCTAGCTCCTCTAGCAAATGAATTCCGAAGGTAAAGTTCTATAAACGTGAATTCTCTGCAATTTTTAACATGTATAATGGGCCAACCCAGATCCCCGGGATTACTAATTTTCTATTTCTGCTACAGATGCCAAGTAAAAATAATCCCAACAAATACACATAAAAATAGAGTTAAATTTTCTGAACTGTTTCCCTGCCGAGGAAAATACGGTACGTATGCCCCGGCTCCGGATGGCCACCTCCTCCGTTTCTCTGCATCTGTAAAGTGGGGTTCCTGTTGTATGCTGTATGTCATTGAGGGCTCTCTTTGGAAAGGTTCTGCGGCGTGTACACCAGTCACCACCATGAGCCAAAACTGGGGGAGTCCAGGCTGCCGGCGACGGGGAAGAGGCCGACCGCGAGCTCGCCCTACTGAACGCTCATCACGAGACTCCCTCACTGCTCTCTCAGGCCAAAGGAAAGCCTGTGATCCATAGTCCGGATTAAAAAGGACTTCTTGAGTAGAGGTGGGGAGACAGACTTCTGTTAAAATGAAGATCTGTCTTAAACGGCAAATTTTGACCAACGCACAAATCTGATTAAAAAACAGTAAAAACAAATATTAGTACAAGAGGGCATCAGTTTATCTTCCTTCCTCTGCCTTCTCTGGTCAGTCCTATGAACATCCTTGGAAGTTACTAAGGGGATAGCAGCTTTACATCTGATGAAATAGAAACCCAGTGAACTACAGAAGTCCAAGCAAAAACAATGGCACTTTCTCCCCACTTATAAATAGAATTCGGACTGTGTAATCATTCCTCAGAGTTCTCCTTTCCTTTTCACAGAGCAATATGCTCTTCCCAAAAAGGGCTCTTGGCACTCACAGCCCCCACCCAGGCAGAAAAACAAACAAAAAGATTTCGGTTCAGAACACTGAATCTTGACAAAATGAGTATTTCATATTTAGGACTTAGAAAGCTATTCTCCTTTCTGCCACTGAAATGCAGACTAGGAAGAGAGCAACAATAAGCAAAGGAATTGTTGAGGGGTGGAAAATGTGGCAGTTAGTGGGGCTCCTGTTTGCACTCCAGCAGAGTCCAGACACCCCTTTTAGAGAGTGTGGGGTCACAAGCTCCATGACACACAACAGTGGTGAGAGCACTGCACACCTGAGTTCTCTTCACAGTGGTGGTCAGATTTACGGTAACCATTTGTCAAAAACGAGTTTTTAAAATGATTATTTTTATTTAATGGTGACTAACATCTTAGAGGGATCCCTTTAAAAGACCAACTTTTGATCGTTTCTTCTATCCAGGTCATAACTGAAATGTTTTAACCTGATCCCTGTTCCCACCTTCTTCCTATGATGATTCCTTTGACCAGTCAAGTCATTTTCCAAGATAAGTGTTCTTGAGGATGAAATTCAAGCACATAAAGACTCTTAGCTAGATGACTTCTTTCTAAAGTAATTTTCTTTCTAGAGTTTGAACCTCTTCAGAAATAAAATCTCTGACAGCTGCCTCTTCAGTTTTTCCCCTTAGCCACAACTAAATCAATTTTGAGAAAATAACACTCTCCAAAATAAAAATACCTCAAACAAAGCAGCTTTTTATTTACAGTAAGTCTTGAGATAAGAAGGGAAGAACTAAGAAAGGCAGAGACACCCATGACCTCCAGAGTAGATTTAGGTCTAGTCAAAGACATGGAAAGCCAAATAGAGCCAGACAGCTCCCTAATGACTTGCCCTAGGTGGCTCTTTATTCCTTTTGAATGGAAAACCTAACCTAACTCAAATTTCCTATTCAAAATACAGCATACTATGATAACTGATGGCAGAATTATGCTTGATTACGTCCCTTAGCAGAGAGGAAGCAGGAAATGAAGATGACCAGTAAGTCTCTGGACCAGGAATGGTTGCAACAGAGTCGTTCTATTCCTTCTGCCTAGACTCTCACTCCCAGCTCCCTTGCCCTTTTATCCATCTAGAAGTCAAATATTCCATCCTCTCAGTCTTCTACAATCCCCCAAGCAGAAGTGACTTTTAAAAATCTTATGCCACCAGTGTCTTTGTACCTCTCCATTGTAGGATTTATCACAATTAAATGTAATTATTTATGAATTTGTCACTCCAGAGATAATCTCTTATTGACAGCATATCACTACCCTCTAGAACAGAGCTTGGTAAGTGAATTCAGTAAATATTCATGGTAGAAAAGAATGAATATAGAACCCAGTGAAGTAAGGCTAGCTGAAAGGTGAGAGAAACAGGAAACCACAACTAGAGAATCCACCTGGTGCCAGAGTTCTAAATTAAGGGGCAGGTAAAATGTGTAGGTGTCTTTTTAGGGTTTCTTAGCAAGGCTGATATACAAGTCTCAGATAAAGCTATGGATAAGTTAAAAGATTCCTTAACTGTTTTCAAAGCCAGAGTCAATACCTACCAAATCAGAACATAAAAAAAGAAAGAAATTCTACAGTGCTAGAAATGCAGTAAAACAAATATGTACTGGTAGAATATTTTCATCCTTTAAAAAAAGTTTTGTTCTTTGGAGACATTTTAAAAAATAAAAGAGCACAAAACCCTTGATATGAAAAGAAAAAAAAAGAGAAGCTGCAATGAAAGCAGTATTAATATTATAAGCTATAAACTCACCAGCAAGTAGAGCATATTATATAAACATCATTATTTTAAAAGTCTTGTGATTTAAAAATCATAAAATGCAAATTGTAGTTTTAGAACAAATTAGTGGGCTGTGATTCTATTGCTTATATACTAAAATCTATATAACTTTGTAATCCGTATGTGGAAGGTCTTTACAAATACCAGCACCTTAAAGCATTTTCTTTTGTTGGTGACACTGTCAATGCTGGGCAGGGACAGGAATAGGGACAAGAAGCTTTGTCTCCTGATAGAACAAAGGCAGACTGTCAATTCAGAACAACACTGTGATCAACTTCTATTTATGGTATTCAAATATCATAACAGGAACCAGCAAGTTCATCTAATAAAGTACCTAAATCTCACTTTTGTTCTTTAAATGCATTATCTACACATAATTTTTGATGCCCTTAAAAGAGCCACATGTATTAATCATTCAAAAGGAAATATTTTAATGTAGCACAAAACATGAAACAAAGAAAGTTAAATTCACTGGTATGTGTTTAAACATCCCAAATCATAGCCAAAAACTGACAAAGCTTAATTTTATGGAGATAGGCTCTATAAAGGTGTGGCTTTATTAATTTACAACAATTATCCTCTGTGGTTGGATTAATAGAAATTATACTGTAATCCTTGATAACAGTTCTATTCATCCAAAAAAAAAAAAAAAAGACATGAAGGGTATTTTTGTATATGGAAGTTACCTTCAATTTAGGTAAAAACCTAAATTTATCTCAAAAAAGCTTAAGTTACCTTTACAGCCTCAAAACTGCCAGAAGAGATTAACTCCCTGTCGTAATGGTTAAAGATTAGTTTGCCTCAAGACTCCATCTAGGCAAAGAACAGAGCCAGCAGCAGGAAAGGTAGGAAGAGGAATGAGTGCTCAGAGGAGATGAGCAAGGACAAGGCTCAGAGACTAGGAGAACATGGACTTTCAGCATGGCTAGAACTCTTGAGTGCAACACAAAGAAACAGCCAGACTCTCAACCACAGCACTATGGACATGTGCGCTCGATCACTCTTGGTGGGGCCTGTCCAGTGTACAGGATGTTGAGCTGCATACCTGGCCTCTATCCACTAGATGCCAGTAGCATCCCCACAGTTAGGACAACCAAAAATGTCTGTGGATATTGCCAAGTATCTTTCTTCTGGGGGGAGGGGCAGTCAGAATTGCTCCCATTAAGAACCAGTGCGTTAAAGAATAAGTAAGGGATAAGAGAGGGACCAAACCATTTCAAGGAACTTGGATTTTATTCTCAAGGGAAGAGTGAGCCATTGAAATGGCAGAAAGAGTATGATCAGATTTCAACCAACAGGTGTTTATTGGATACATCCTCTGTGCCAAGCAATGTTACAGGTGCTAAGAATATGACAATGAACAAGACAAATGAAGTCTCTATTAAAATTGACATTCTTTTTGTAAGGACAGATAAAACAAGAAAATGGTCACTATAACTTCATTTTGCAATTGTGCTGTGAAGAGAAGAAAACAGGATACTGTCAGAGAGGAACTGAGTGGTGGGAGTAAAGAGGCTACTTTATTTTACACCAGATGGTCTGGGGAAGCTACTCTGAAGAGATGATATAAGATCCGGCTGAAACTCTAAGTGCCAACACAGAACCTTCCTGGGGAAGGAAGGAGTCTCCTGGAAAAGCTGGAGGAAAAGCCCTGAGGAGGGAGGCCAGTGTGCTGCGGGGGGGGGGGGGGAGGGGGAGGGCAGACTGTGTGGTGCAAGAGGAGGTCGGCGAGGCCAGTGGGGCTACATCCCACGAGACTTCTTCCCTGGGAGCCACTGAAGAGTTTCTCACAGAGTGACATGACTTGCCTTACACTTTACGAATATCTCCAGCTGCTCAGTGGAGGAAAAGTTCAGGGGAAGGAAAGGAGAGGCCAGGAAGCTTTCAATATGCTAGGCCAGAAGTGAATGGAGGTGGAGCGAGATGAAAGGAGTCAGGCTGTGTCCAGCTGCACAGCCACCGAGCAGGACTTGACCATGGATGACATGAAGGGAATGAAGGGAAACGAGAGAACCCAAGATGAGTCTCTGATGGGGTTTGGCTGGAATGGCTAGGGGGATGGGAGTGATCCTGGCTGGAAGTGGGAAAGTCAAAGGGAGGAGCAAGCTGGGAGGACAGGGGTGAGGATGCTTAGTCTGGTTAAGACACAGGTTGTTGATGTGCCTCTGAGACACATAACTGATGATGTACAACATGGAGCTGCGGGGTCAATCCAACATCAGATTGTGCAGACTGTTTTAAAATGCTAAGGACTAGCTATGGGACTGAGGGACCGAGCACAGAAGGAGAACATAAAAGTGCAAATATGAAGCCACTGGAAATTCCCATGTTTAGAGTTCGGCCAGGGAGGAGCCGCCAGCAAAGATATGCAAAAATGGCTAGGGAGGCTGAAGGTGTCTCAGAGGCCAACAGCCAGTGTTTTATGGAGGAGAGAATGTTCAACTGTCAAATGTTGTTGAGAGGTTAAGTCACAGGGTGATGAAGACCTGTGTGTGCCAATAAGACAGACACTGGGGACCCTGACCAGCAGTTTCCCCCACAGCCAGGAAAGAAGCTGTACTGAGGAGAAAGGGGAGGAGGGGCAGGTGGTGACCATAATAGCACCTTTGGGAAGTCTTTGCCAGGGAAGGGAAGTAGAGGAATGAGCTGAAAGCTTTGGGAGAAAGATGAGTACCCTCAAGACAATCTATGGAGGCGGGGGAAACTTGAACAGTGTGCACGCTGCAGTAGAGGGAAAACTGACAATCAGCAACAGCTGAGGTGATTCTGGGAGCAAGGTCCTTTGGCAGATGGCGCCAGTGGCCTCTGGTAGCAGCAGGGACGCCTCACCCATGGTGACATGAAGAGAGGCAGAGTGAGTGGTACAGATGCAGGCAGAAGTCTGGGGAAGATGAAGGCCAGAGCCCTCTTGCAAA